ACCAAAAATTCCATCTTTGTGTGACTTGCTTGTGTTTTCTGCTTGAAGTAATGGTACCTGGCCTTTCCCCATCTCCTGTAGCTGTGCCCCACTAATGCAACATGGGTCAGTGCAAATCTGAGAGCCTGCTATTCATTTTGAAGCTCTGCCTGGAGCCTGCTGCTTCAAAAATTCTGTCTTTAAATCACCATTAATCCCACTAGAGAAAGCACTGGCAATAGAATTCAATTTCAGCTTCCTGGCAGGACAAGCCAAATGCCAGCAGTCTCTGAGGGCTGCAGCAAGACTTCCTGGGAGCAGTCTCTAGCCCTCACAGCCAGGATCATGACTGACAAAGTCCTGTATTGGAGGTTCAAAAATGCCTTAAATTCACCGCAGGACTGCCCTCCAGTGCTAGAAATCTTCCCTAAATTTAGTGACTTCTGGAAAAGTTCTCAAGTCCTTGGAGCTGTGTCATACATTTCCAGGATTTATTAAGTAAGGCCATTTCAGTTGGAGGTGTAAATCACATGCCCATAATTTTCCGCGAGTCCAGTACAGCTGCTCTCCTACCCTGTAAGGTGAGTCTTCTGTCAGCCGCATAAGCCTCTAATAATATGTATGTCACATAGTGGTACTTACCTTTGCAAACAGATGTGTCTGAACAGAGTGCTGAGGTCATCACAAAGTATTTGAAATGTGAGCTCTGGGGCAAAGGTTTCTCTGCTTGGCCCCTCTGACTTGTCCTGTCACCTTGGGCATGAGACTTCTCCCTGTGGCTCAGGTCCTTAACTAATGACCACATTTCCTGTATAGGGTCATTGTGATGGCTTTACTCCAACTATACTATCAGTGTAGTAAGGTAGCTGATTATTTTTTAATTATTTTTATTTATTTTTCTTATTTTACATATCTATCTCAGTTCCCGTTCCCTCCCTCCTTCTCTCACATCCTCCCATGCCCCCTGACCAGGCTACCATCCCATCCCATCCCTCACCCCACTCCACAGGGAGGGTGATACCTTCCTGGAGGGGTCAACAAAATCTGTCAAGTCATTTGGAGTAGGGAATAGGCCCTCCCTCCTGCCTCTAGGTTATAAGGGAGTATCTCTCCATGGGGAATGTGCTCCCAAAGTCCTTTTGTGCACCAGAGATACCTGCTGGTTCCATTGTCAGAGGTCCCTTAGACTGCCCAGGCCTTCTAACTAAGACCTATGTTCAGGGGGGTCTGAGTCTGCCCAATTCTGGATTGCCAGCTATCAGTTTGGAGGCCCATTAGCTCCTCCTTGTTCAGGTCAGCTGTCTCTGGGTTTCTGTAGCCTGGTCTTATCTTCTCTCTCTGTATCTGGATTCCAGTTTGGCTCAGTGGTTAGCTGTGGGTGTCTATTTCTGTTTCCATCAGCTACTAGATGAGGGCTCTATGATGGTGCATAACTTAGTCATCAATCTCATTATCAGGGAAGGGCATTTATAGTAGCCTTTCTACTGTTGCTCAAATTATTAGTTGACGTCAGTCTTCTAAGTCTCTGGACTTAGAAGTCTAAGAAGACTAAGTCTAAGTCTCAAGTCAGTTTTCTCTTCAAACCTATAATGGCTCCATCTTTTATGGTATCTCTCTCTGTGTCTGTCTGTCTCTCTCTCTCTCTCTCTTTCTCTCTCTCTCCCTCCCTCCTCTCATCTACTCCCCCCTGACTCAATCTTCTTAGTCTCATGTGCTTTTGTCTCTTTCTCCTAGCTCCCTCTCCACTCACTGCCCCCCCCAATATGCTCAGGAGATCTTGTTCCTTTCCCCTTCTGTGAGGGAATCTAGTATCCTAGTTTCTCTGGCAGTGTGAATTATAGGCTGGTAATCCTTTGTTCTATGTCTAAAATCCACATATGAATGAGTACATACCATGTTCCTCTTTTTGTAACTGGGTTACCTCATTCAGGATGGTTTCTTCAAGTTCCACCATTGCCTGCAAAATTCAATATTCCATTGTTTTTTTTCATCAGAGTAATATTCCATTGTGTAAATGTGCCACATCTTCTTTATCCATTTTTCAGCTGAGGGGCATCTAGGTTGCTTCCAGGTTCTTGCTATAACAAATAACACTGCTACGAATATAGTTGAACAGATGTCTTTGTTGCATGGATGTGGATCATTTGGGTATATGCCTAAGAGGGGGATTGCTGGGTCCAGTGGTAGACATATTCCCATTTTCCTGAGGAACCACCATACTGATCTCCAAAATGGCTGGACAAGTTTGCACTACCACCAGCAGTTTAGGAGTGTTTCCATTTCTTCACATCCTCTCCAGCATAAGTTGTCATTGGTGTTTCTAATTTTAGCCATTCTGGCAGGAGTAAGATGGTATTTCAGAGGTGTTTTGATTTGCATTTCCCTGGTAGCTAAGGATGTTGAGCACTTTCTTAAGTGTCTTTCAGCCTTTTTGATATCCTCTATTGAGAATTCTCTCTTCAGTTCTGTACCCCGTTTTTTAATAGGGCTATTTGGTGTTTTAGTGACTAGTTTCTTGAATTTGGTCTTGTCAACTGTGTCCTTTGCCTTACAGAAGCTTCTCAGTTTGAGGAAGTCCCATTTACTAATTGTCAATCTCAGTGACTGTGCTACTGGTATTAAGTACAGGAAGGGATCTCCTGTACCAATTTGTTCAAGGGAGGTCCCACTTTCTCTTCTAAGAGGTTCAGTGCAGCTGCATTTATGTTAAGGTCTTTGATCCACTTGGACTTGAGTTTTGTGCTTGGCAATAGGCATTGGTCTATCTGCAGTCTTCTACACACCATCATCCAATTGTGCCAGCACCATTTGTTGAAGATGCTTTCCTCCTCCCATTGTATACTTTCAGCTGTTTTGTCAAAAATCAGGTGTTCTTAGGTGTGTGGGTTAATGCCAGGATTTTCAATTTGATTCCATTGGTCTACCTGTCTATTTTTGTGCCAATACCAAGCTGTTTTCAGGACTATAGCTCTAGAGTAGAGCTTGAAGTCGGGGATGGCAATGCCTCCTGAAGTTCCTTTATTGTACAGGGTTGTTTTGACTATCCTATTTGATTATTATTCTTTCAAGGTCAGTGAAGAATTGTGCTGGGATTTTGATGGTGATTGCATTTAATCTGTATATTGTTTTTGCGAGATTGCCATTTTTAATATGTTGATCCTACCTATCTAGGAGCATGGAAGATCTTTCCATTTTCTGGTATCTTCTGTAATTTCTTTCTTTAAAGACACAAAGTTCTTGCTATATAGGTCTTTCACTTCTTTGGTAAGTGTTGTCCTGAGATACTTTATGTTGTTTGTGGCTATTGTAAAGGGTGATGTTTCTCTGATTTCTTTCTCCGCCCCTTTGTTGTCTGTACATAGTAAGGCTACTGATTTTTTTTTTTTTTAGTTTATCTTGTATCTTGCTAGTTTGCTGAAGGTATTTATCAGCTGGAGGAGTTCCCTGGTAGATTTTTTTGGGTCGATTATGTAAACTATCATATCATCTGCAAATAATGAAAGTTTGACTTCTTCCTTTCTAATTTGGATCCTTTGATCTCCTTTTGTTGCCTTGTTGCTTTAGCTAGAACTTCAAGTACAATATTGAAGAGATATGGAAACAGTGGGCAGCCTTGTCTTGTTCCTGATTTTAGAGGGATTGGCTTAAGTTTCTCTCCATTCAGTTTGATGTTGGCTGTTGGTTTACTGTATATTGCTTTTATTATGTTTAGGTATGTTCCTGTTATTCCTGACCTCTCCAAGACCTTTATTATGAAAGGGTATTGAATTTTGTCAAAGGCTTTTTCAGCATCTAGTGAAACGATCATGTGGTTTTCCTTTTTCAGTTTATTTATATTGTAGATCACATTGATAGATTTTCATATGTTGAACCATCCCTCCAAGCCAGGGATAAAGCCTACACGGTCATGGTGGATGATGTCTTTGATGTGTTCTTGGATTCAATTTGCCCGTATTTTGAGTATTTTTGCATCAGTGTTCATGAGGGATATTGGTCTATAGTTCTATTTCTTAGTTGTGTCTTTGTGTGGCTTGGGTACCAAGGTAATTGTGGCCTCATAAAAGAGTTTGGTAATGATCCTTCTGCTTCTATTGTGTGGAACAATTTGAGGAGCATTGGTATTAGGTCTTCTTTGAATTTCTGGTAGAATTCTGCACTGAAGCCTTCTGGCCCTAGGCTTTTTTTGGTTGGGAGGCTTTTGATGACTGCTTCTATTTCATTAGGGGTTTTAGGTCTATTTAAGTTGCTTATCTGTTCTTGATTTAATTTTGGTAAATGATAGTTATCCAAAAATTTGTTCATTTCCTTTGACTTTTCAAATTTTGTGGAGTACAGGTTTTCAAAATATGACCTGAAAATTGTCTGGATTTTCTCAGTGTCTGTTGTTATGTCCCCCTTTTCATTTTTAATCTTTTAATTTGCATGTTCTCTCTCTGCTTTTTGGTTAGCTTGGATCAAGGTTTGTCTATCTTGTTGATTTTCTCGAAAAACCAACTATTTGTTGCATTGATTTTTTGGTATTGTTTTCCTGGTTTCTATTTTATTGATTTCAGCCCTCAAATTGATTATTTCCTGGCATCTACTCCTCCGGAGTGAATTTGCTTCTTTTTGTTCTAAGGCTTTCAGTTATGCTGTTAATTCTCTAATGTGACTATCCTCCATTTTCTTCATTTGGGCACTTAGTGCAATGAACTTCCCTCTTAGCACTGCTTTCAAAGTGTCCCATTCTCTGAATTCTAAGAAGTCTTTAATTTCTTCCTTTATTTCTTCTTTGACCCAGGTATGGTGCAATTGCACATTGGTCAGTTTTCATGAGTTTGTAGGGTTTCTACAATTTGTGTTGTTGAATTCCAACTTTAAAGCATGGTGGTCTGATAAGATTCAGGGGACTATTCCAATTTTTCATATCTGTTGAGGTTTGTTATGTTGCCTAGTATGTTGTCAATTATAGAGAAGGTTCCACGTGGAGCTGAGAAGAAGGAGTATTCTTTTGTTTGGATGGAATGTTCTATAGATGTCTGAAAAATATGGAACGCTTCACAAATTTGCGTGTCATCCTTGCACAGCGGTCATGTTAATCTTCTCAGTATATTTCCAATTTTAGGATATGTGCTGCCAAAGCGAGCATTGCTGATATATTTTAATTAATTAAAATTATATACAAGTTTAATTCTTATTTCACTAGCCACATTTCAAGTGTTTGATGGCTATATATGACAAGTAGCTACCATACTAAGCAATGCAATGGGATGAATCTCCTTTTTAACTTTATTTGTATTTTTAATGGTGTATTTGTGTATGACAGCATGTGCAGGTATGTGAGTGCAGGAGCACCTGGAGGACAGACGGGGGTGTAGGATTCCTGGATCAGGGTTTGTAGGTGTTTGTGAGGTGCTGATGTGTTTGGCAGGACTGAACTTGTGTCCTCTATAAGAGAAGTACATGCTCTTCACCTCTAAGCGTTCACTCCAGTGCCTTGATGAGTATAGTTCTATCAGGCAAACTATTACCACAGACAGGCTTACAGTCACACAATTACTCCTGCATTTCCTGTACTCTTATCCATCCATCCCTGTTACCAGCTGCTCTTGAGTTGGTCGTTTTCTTTGGATGGCGGCGTGCATGCATGCGTTCATGCATGCTTGTGCCTTTTTCTGTAAGTGTTCATGTACACATATAAGTGAAAGTCAACTGCAGTTGTTGCTTCTCAGGAGCTGTCCACCTAGTTTGTTGAGACAGGGATCTCTTGTTGGCAGGTAGCTTAACACATAGAGAGGCTGGCTGGCCAGTAGCTTCAAGGATTCACCTGCCTCCACACCCCAGGACTGAGTGAGACTACAAGCATATGCCACCATGTATGGCTTTTTTATGTGGGTTCTGAGCCTGGAACTCAGGTTCTCATCTTACACAGCAAGCACTTTACTGACTGGGTGGTCTCTATCCTGGTGAGCTGGAAGTATTCATGCAACTTCCTCTTAATTTTCCTCGTCACCTATCCATTCAGTCCTTGACAAGACTGTACCTGGGTCTTCTGACATTTTGAATTCTCTGAGGTATCCTCTTGAGCTTCCCAGCTGAGCTTCTGAACCCCTTATCATTCCTCCTGTGCCAAGCTCAGCCAGCACTGTGAGTGTCTCAGGGCTGAGATCACATTTCAATGGTGCATGTGTGTTCGCATAGCCCCTGCTTGAAATAGGCATTCAGACATTTGCAGGAATGAGTTAGCATGTGACTCACTATGCCAGCCTCTGCTGGTCCTCAGAGAAACATCTACGCCCTGAGGCAAGGCTCACAGATGTGAGCCTGTAGGTGCTGCTTTGAGGCCAGGTGGCCAGGGAGTACATTTTTCAGGCATCTCTTTTCCAGGACTCTCCAGGGTTGCCATGTTCTCTCGTCATAGTTCAGCATCTGTGCGCCCATACACAATCTTGCATGCCTATGTGTGAAGTGAGGTGGCCTTCAGCTTACTATGACAGTCTTGTCATCCTGGGATCTCATTCAAAATTACCAGGCAATAGCAGAATATAAATATATAGATATAGATATAGATATAGATATATATATATATATATATATATATATATATATATATATATATCCTCATGTAGTATCTTAGACAGAGCTGCTGATTTCAGGTTCTCATGGTTTACAGAGGTAAGTTCTTTGCCAGTAGAGGGTGGAACCTCATAAATGGGATTAGTAACCTTATAGACTGGAACCCCAAGAGGACTAAAATCCTCAATCGCACACCCCTTCCCCCCTCACCCCACCCGAATGAAGACACAAGGAAGAAACCTGCAACTCTAAGAATGCCTTTCCTCACCAGAACCCAACAATGTTGGAACTCTGATCTTCAACTTCCAGTCTCCGAGAATAATGTTTGTTGTGTGAGCCAAGGCATTCATGGTAATTCTGCTAAAGAAGCTCTCCCTGACTGATAGTTTCCATTCTGTCTCTACTGCTATAGCTCTGGAGACTTAAACACCATCTGTCAGTTCCCCTAACTAGGAACTGAGGTACATCCTCCTCGATACAATGAGAAATGATGTTGTGTTTGACTGGATCCTACATTCAGTGACACAGTGAGTCATGAATAAGGTTCCCAATTCTGTCTTTAAAATACAGAAACCATCACTAATTGGATGATCCAGTATTACGGACTCAGTGGTTGTCATTGGATGATAAGAACTAATATTCACTTCTAGAATGCTTACCATGTGTGATCAATGCCTGGCCTAAATTACTTAACAGTGCTAGAGAGATGAGGGAAAGAGAGTGCAGAAAGCAAGAACCATGTGTTTTAACAGCCTACTCTTTGAAGACACAAACTGTCACTTCCCTCAAAGACTTCTGCTTTTCTGGAAGTATATCACCTAGCCCAGCACCAGGTTGAGGGAAAAACAAAAGTCAGTCTCTTCAAAAACTTTATGAATATACCATTGTTGTAAAACATTTCTTACAAGCAAGCTTGAAAGGTATCTTTAGCTTATATCTACTTATCTAGCTTATCAGATTAAAAAAAAAAAAACATGGATTTGGACTGGAGATAAACTCGGTTGCCACTTAAGTAGGAGGAAGTAAGTTTGATCTTCTGAGCCTGTGAAAAAGAAGCCAAGCATGGTGGTGCAAGCTTGCAATATAAACACTGGGGAAGCACAGACTGAGAGTGATCCCTGGGGCTTACTAGACAGACACCCCAGCCTATTTAGTGAGAGACCTTGTATAGAGCCTGGAGAACAATGCGTAAAGTTGTCACATGGCATCTACATGAGTGCACATGCATGTGTGGCAAGCCTCCACACCTACACACAAATCCTACATTCACAGTATATATTCATATAGCATTAAAGAAAAGAATCAGCAAGCTTTTCTGCAAATGGTAAGTTAGGAAATAGTTTAGGCTTTATCTTAAGAGTGTTTTTTTCTTAATGGCCAATGTCTAGAACCCATTTCAGTTCAAATTAATTGCAATCTTTTGGAATGTGAGACCAGATATCAGTAGTGAATGTTCCCAGGAGATGCTGAAATGCAGCTCAGATTAACAAGAACTAATGACACAGGGCCAGCCCAGATGGAGCTTCTCGTGAAGAAATATGCTGCTGCTTCAGAAGAAAGTTTAGATAGATATAATGAAGCAAGCAGGAAGGAATAAATGCCTTCTCCCTCTCCCACCCTGCAACCTCCTTCAGTGCCCCCTGTTTGCATAGACTAAGAGAGAAAGAGATGCTTTGCAAACCACATAACCTGGACTTGCAGGTGGGCAACATGACTTAATAGTAGCCTGGTTTACCTCTTAGGAAATTGAACATTCAAATATACTTTTCCATACATATCTGATTTTCATGTAGCAACAAGGCACTTAGTCTTCCTATGAACAAAAGCACCTTCTGTTTCTAAAATAAGAGTGACAAATTCTACTATCAGGCACTGCATCCCAGGTAAGACTTTAATTGCTGTAAGATTTATCACAGTCACCTCTGAATCTTACTTTACCTAAAGACAAACTATAAATGTAACTTCTACATAATGTAGTGAGTTCCTTACACATGGAAACTAGCAGAGTCCAATTATAGGATAGGGTAATGGCATCCAGACAATGGCCTCTTAGGAAAAGCAGTAACTGGAGACATCCTTTCACCGTTCTTTTCTGGACCCCTGAAGCTGAGTGCTCATGAAAAGAGTACCATGCAATTACTCATTGGCGGTCATCTGGCTCATGTTAGAGCTGGCTAAGGCTAAGGATGCTGTCGATATCTGTCTTCTACAAAGCACCTCTCCCATCTTTATACTAGCCCACTTTCTAGTGGTCATGAGGTTTGGAAGGACTGTGATTCTGTAGCAAGGGCCATTGTTGCACTTTGTGAAATTGGTTCTTTGATAGAGATGGCACTATGCAAGATGATCTGTTTATATATCAGTGCTTGGGTTGTCCCTGAAGGGTGCTGCTTTTAGAAACATCATGCACCAAGAAAACACATCCATAGCCACATTTCAGTTATGACTACTTTCTATTCTGTTCTACCAGGTGAATGGCTGATACCTCCAGGATATGTTAGTAAAGGCTCAGTGTGGGTCTTGGTTGTTGCCATGTTAGGTCCTCAGAAGTATCCCAGACCAGGTCAGCACTGGAGATGGGAAATTCATGTTAAACCGCACTTATCATCTGCCCCCGTTATGACTGCACTATTATACATGGGCCCATGGAATAAGCAGGAAGAGGCAGGGAAGAGGCTGTAAGACAGCAGCAGACAATGACAGTAGGTACAGCTCATTCAAAGTAGTCCCCACTGCTACGGCTGCCTTTCTCTGGATCTTCAGATGAAGCATGAATGCCATGACTATAATGTGTGGGAGTCTCGCACTTTTCAGACTATAGTCACTTCCTGATTTACAGTTTATACTTCTCAATCTAAGGTCTTGTCTCACATCTCATGCTCAAAATGAGACAGAATTCTGTTGCTGTATCACCCCCACCCACCTGGCAGCTCTCTTAAAGACTTCTTCTCTCTTAAGCAGAGGCCATGATCTCAAATAATTGCATTAACAGCAGAAACAAGTGAAGTCAGCTTTTTGTAAGAATGAAGATGAATCAGAGAGTAAATTCTGGCTGGGAAAACATGATGTCCTGAGTTCGGATCCTCAGCAAACACAAAAATGTGATCACAGCAAACATAAAAATGTGATCGCAATACTAGGAGGATCCTTGGGGCTTGTCAGTAGCAAACCAGTCTAGCCAGCCAGTGAGCTCCATGTTCAGTGGGAGACCGCTGACTCCACATAGACACATACAAGCAAACACTAAGATCCACATGTATGCAACCTGTATACAGCCGCGCTCACACACACACACACACACACACACACACACACACACACACACACACGAGAGAGAGAGAGAGAAAGAGAGAGTCAGCTTTACTTGTTATGATCTGTAATACAAGAATAATGCACAATACAAGCAGAATTATGATTCCCTACTTAAAAAAAAAAAAAAACTTGACAGTATCTTCCTTCTTTCTCTGTGTACCAGGAATATACCAGCAAGTGGTCAGAATTTAGGCTAGGTGATGAATAAGTATCTTATCTTATAATTACAGCTGTTGATGATCCCAGCTCTAGTACCATCAA